TATATATATATATATAATTAATTATAATTWAATTTAATATAATTTAGTTTTGWCTAAATAACATACAGTATATATATATAATACAATAAATATTTTTATTAGATAAGATTATACTTGCAATTAAATTATATATATATATATATATATTGTATATACAATTAGTTGTATATATACTGTATATAGATATAGTTAAATGTTAATTGTATTTATGTTATTATTTGCTAACAATTTATATATATATATATATATATATATATAAATTATGATTAGATAACAAATGAAAGTAAATTGCAATTTATATTTCTATACATTCAGTAATTTATTTAATTTAATACACAAACACATAAAAAATACACTTTCATTATAAATACATTACAGTTTTAAATGATTGTTGATATTAATAATAATATAATTATTGTAATTGTTTTTATCAATTATTATTACTACTAATATTATATTGTTTAGTCATTTATTAATTATTTTTTTTTTAAAAAAAACATTATTACACTAAAAAATAAATTTTTAATTTATATATATTTAATTGAAATAAAATTAATAGTATATTCATTAGTTATTATTTATATATTTTTGATATTTAAAAAAATTATAAATAATGAAAAATTTTTAAGAAAATCTATTGAATTAAGTGATTGATTTGAAATTTAAGTTATTGTTGTTATTGTTTATTATTATTATTAATTGTTGTTTGGTTGGATTGGGTTGGGTTGGGTTGGGCACCTGTAGTATTCAACCAGGGCGATTGTGGCCACTGTTGGTATATCATACTAAGCGGTTCGGTAAATGTGGTCATTGCTGGCAAAGGTATCGTATGTACCCTACACGAGGGCGATGACTTCGGTAAATTGGCCCTCGTCAATGAGGTTATAATTTAATTTTATTTATTTAAATTAATTAAAATTAATTAAATTTAAAATTATAGTTTTTTGATTATAGTTTTTTTTGTTGTTGTTGGTTAGTTTACTAAAAAAAATTTTTTTTTTAATAATTAATAATAAAAACAACTTTGATGATTTACTAGTTACTATTTAGTATATACTAATTAATTAATTAATTTATAGTTTATTTGTTTGTTTGTATATATATATATATATATATATATATATATATATATACTGTATATATTAGTTAGTTTTGTTAGTTTATAAAAAATTTAAATAATTAAACTAAAAAAAACAACAATTTTTTTGTTGATTTCACGTACTATTTATTAATAGTAAATTTTTTTTAATTATTAAAACTATTGTTTGTTTTTAGTTTAGTTATTATATTATAATATAAGCATTTTGAACAAAAATAGTGATTTTTTTTAGTAGATATTTATAAAAAATTATATATCAATTTTTTTATTATTATAAATATTTTCAAATATTTATTTCTATTTATTGTAATAAATATATAGATTATTATTATTATTGGATTTTATTTTATTTTTCCGCCCATAAAAAATCTATTTATTATTTAATATCTATAATAATAATTATATAATAATAAAATAAAACCCCATAATTATTATGTTAATTATTATTTAAATTAATTAATATTTATTTTTTTTTTTATAGGCGCCCCGTGCGGCCACCATAGTGACCAATGAGGCCAATTGCCAATTGCTTCGGGTAGATAAATCGCATTTTGATCGCATACTACGGGATGTCGAGGCCAAYACYGTACGGCTCAAAGAGCACGGCCGGGAAGTACTGATACTGCAGAGGATGGCCGCCGACGGTAGCCATCGGATGCAATGCAATACATTTGCCTTTGAATCGGGTRGTCATCAAAGTCACTACAAGTGAGTCCYATTATCACTACAAACACAAACAAACAAACAGATAATTATTTTATTAATTATTAATTTTAGATAAATAAATAATTATTTAAATAATTATTTATTTAAAATTAATAATTATTTAATTAATTATTAATTTTAGATAAATAAATAATTATTTAAWTAATTATTAATTTTAAAAATAAATAATTATTTAATTAATTATTAATTYTAAATAAATAATTTTTAATTAATTTTTAAGGAAAATTTTTTTATAAAAAATACTAAATAATTTTTATTAGTTTTTTTAATTAGTTTTTTTGTTGATAAAAATTTTTCGGTTAAMAACTATTATAAATATTATTAATAAATATAGTTTTTTAGTATCTATTTATATGAAATACTATTTTTTGTTTAGTTTATAAAAATGAAATATTTTAAGTATATTTATTGGATATATAATTGTAATTAATTGTTATATTAATTTTTTGTTGATAAATAAATACAGTATATATTTTTTGTATAGTTTTCAAGGCTAGTGTAATATTACCCTGGTAGCTAATCGTTGAAATTATAATTTGTTTAATTAATTATAATAATATATTTGAATTTTTTGTTGTTATTATTATCTTGATGAAATCAAGCAATTTAATTAGTAGTATTATATTACAATATATATATATATATATTAATTTAAATATATTATACTGTATAATCATTTTTTTGAATATAAATTATTATTTATTATTTTTTTGTTGATAAATAATGATGAAATTATTTATTAAAGTTAATATTATAAATTTATATATCAAAACTTGATATTACAAAATAATAATAATAATAATATTTACTTTATAAATATTTTTTTTTATTTATTTAATTTACAGTGAAATAACATTATAGACAATAGATTTTCTAAAAAATTTTATATTAATATTAAATAGATTTTTTTATGTCATTTAATGATTTCAATTATTTTTTTAAAAAATAAAATAAAAGTTTATTTAGGCTATAAAAACAAATTTAATTTTTTTATAAATATTATTATTGTTAAGTTAGAAAWTGTTGTTACACTTTAACAAAAAAAACTTACATTTTTATAATAATAATTATTATTATTAATTTAAACAAAATAAATTACTATTTAGTYTAATAAAATCAAGTTTATATATATAATACTGTTTATTATATGAATTACTAATTGAAAAAAGTAAAATAAATAAATTTAAAAACTAATTTCAACATTAGTTTATGTCTATTGAAACAAAAATGATCTGTTATTGTAATTTAATACATATTAGTTGAAAATTGCAAACCTATTAGCAAATTATTGATAAATAAAAAATATATATATCTAATTGACTATTAGTTTATCATTATTTTTGTTTTCTCTCTCTCTCTCTCTCTCTCTCTCTCTCTCTCTCTGTGGATAATTTACATCATTACTTATAAAAATTAATATTTTAATATAAATAAATATATATATATAACAGTTATAAATTTAAATATAAAATAGTTTTTAAAAAATAATTAACTTAACTTATTATAAGCAAACATTTTTAAAAAAAATAAATTTTATTTAATATATAGAGGAGGATATATAGTTAGCTATTATAATATTTTAACATATTTTAATTATAATAGTTTATAATAATAATAACTTTAACTATAATATATTAATATATATATATATATATATATATTGTTTGTTTTCAACTACAGTATACCGTAATAACAATCATAAAGTAATTTATTTTTTACGATTTATTTTTAATAATTATTTTATTGTTGCTTTAATATTATTATTATTAAGTATTTTATTATTATTGGACTAAACAATAAATAATTTACTAATTATAATATTTTTTTATTTATTTTTGTATCCATGTGMTTGGATGTCCACCCACMCACACACACACACACACCCAGGTATATGGTTATGGCTGGTACACCTGAAAAAATGTTGGAGCACCTGCTTGAAACACGTTTGGATAGTATACATAATCTATTATCAATGGACAACCATCATCAGCATCAACAGCAGCAAAACGGTAGCAGCACTGGTAGTACTAATGGCGGTGGCATCGGTAGTAGTAGTAGTAGTATAGCCAGTGGTGGTAACGGTACTATCGATACACTACTATTAGATTTTATACTAACATTTCCGGTGTTTATATCCTGGAAACATTTATGCAATCAACTGATGAGATACTATCGTATTGATGAACTGAATCAGAGACAGGAACGGGAGTTTATTGTAGCCAATAAGCGACGGGTCGTACGGTTTATGCACTATTGGTTTCTGATAGCCGGGGAGGCATTCCTCCGGAATAAGATTGTCTGGCCGTTCATCGATGATTTGGTGGAGGCCTTGCAAAAGGATATCCTCAAGTATAAGACATTTGATAATGAATTGTTGACATTGAAGACGATTACTGAAGCAAAATCAATGTAATGAATATCTATATATATATAAAACTTTTTTTTATGACTATTATTAGTATTATTATTATTATAAGTATATTATTTAAGTTATAAGTGTTATATAATGTATATATAAGTTGTTAACAATTGGTATATATACTGATTGATTGCTTATTTGAATTGATTTGAATACTACTACTACTACTACTACTACTACTAAAATATTATATTTATATATTTAGTAATATATTTAGTATTAACAATATATTTTTTATAGCTATTATTATTAGTATTATTATAAGTATATTATTTGAGTTATATGTGTTATATTCTGTATATAAGTTGTTATCAATAGTGAGTTATAGATATATATTGATTGCTTATTTGAATTGATTTGAATACTACTAATACTACTAAAATATTATATATTTAGTAATATATTTAGTATTAACAATATATGTTTTTTATTGACTATTATTAATAGTATTATTATTATAAGTATATTATTTAAGTTATAAGTGTTATATACTGTACTCTATATAAGTTGTTATCAATAGTGAGTTATAGATATAGATATATATTGATTGCTTATTTGAATTGATTTGAATACTACTACTACTACTACTAAAGTATTATATATTTAGTAATATATTTGGTATTAACAATAAATATATATATAAATAGTTTCCTCTCTGAATATTTTCATTGATATTTTGAATGATATGAAAATATATGCATTTATTTCTCTCTCTCTCTCTCTCTCTCTCTCTCTCTCTCTCTCTCTCTCTCTCTCTCTCTCTCTCTCCCTCTATCTTTCTGCCTATATATACAGTATATTATCATTTTTGTTATTATTATTATTACTAATACAGTAGTAGAAGTAGTAATAGTAGTTTTTTTTGCTTATTATTAGACAATTGTGTTTATCTAAGCAAAAATAAAAAATGTGTGGAAAGTGGTTGAGTTAATGTATATAATAATAATAATAATAATAATAATAATAATAATATACACTATAATATACTGTTAGATATTTTATATATATATATATAACATTGCATACCAACAGAATATTCTATGAATATACAGTATATACTGTATATATATATATATAATATATATACTGTAGTAATCCGATAACAATTACATAAGTTATACTGTATTATAAGTATTATGAGTATTACTATATATAAATATATTGAGTACTTGAGAATGTAATCAATAGATAATAAAAAAAATACAGAATATTCTGTGTATACGTGAATAGCAATATATAACTTATATAACTATATATACTATATATATATTAAGTATATACTGTATGGTCTCAAAAAAAACTTTTTAATATATTTAAAAAAAATAAATATCGATTATTAAGTTTAAAAAATAAAAAAATAAATCAACTTTTATATATAATTTTATACTATGAAACCATTTTCATCCCCCAATATATTAGCAATTATTTTATTTAAAAAAAATTACTAAACTTTAATGTTAATAATTATTTTAAAAGTAATTATAAATTTAATAACTTTTAGAAAAAAAAACAATTATCTAATTTATTTTCCATAATTATTATTATTTATCAATATAGTTATTAACTTGAATTTTAATTTATTTAAAAAAAATCAAATTAATCAAATTTTTTGAGGTATAATTACTATTATTTTTAAATTTATAGTTAACATTAAAGTTTAGTAAATTTAAAAAAATAAAATAATTGCAATACATTGTGTTGTGTGAAAATGTTTTCATAGTATAAAATTATATATATATAAAAGTTGATTTATTTTTTTTTTAAAAAATCTCAATAATCAACATTTATTTTTTTTTAATATATTAAAAAGTTTTTTTTTTGAAACCATACAGTATATACTAAATATACAGTATATATAAGTTATATATAAATTTATTACTATTCACGTATACATAGAATATTCTGTATTAATATCTATTGATTTTTAAAAAAAAAAATTATTTATAGTATACAATAATTTTTAATTTTACGTATAAATAATTTAGTTTTATATATATAAAAAATATTTTATTTTTCTAATTTATTATTATTATTATTATTAAAAATTATTATTATTATTATTTGGTAGCTATGACTTGGAAATGGATATCCGTGGCGTCCAAAAATGGAAAGCCGATAATCCCGGTTCCGTACGGCGTATGTCTACCGTTCCCGAACTTAATGCCACAAATGATAACAAAAACAAATGGCTGTCCATTAAGGAAAATGATGAAAGTATGGCATAATTTTTTTTCATTAATTAACCGGTTATATATCAAACCGGTAATTATATACAGTTTTTTTTAATTACCGATCAATAATTATATTATCACAGTTATATGTCGGGTATTTTGTGCGGATCATACCTATACAACATTGAAGATTAATGTCGATACTAAAGTGGATCAAATCAAATGTCAAGCAGCGGATAAGCTCGGTATGGATAAAGTCAACGAACTKGTATTGGTTGAGCTTAAATCAAACGCTGGTATGTAATTTACACACCAAACCACCCACACCTACCTGTGCTCTCTCTCTCTCTCTCTCTCTCTCTCTCTCTCTCTCTCTCTCTCTCTCTCTCTCACTCACTCTWTCTCTCTCACACTCACTCTCTCTCTCTCTCTGTCTATATATATATATATATCTCACTCTCTTTCTCTCTCATCCTCTCTCTTACTCTCTCTCTATCACTCTCTCTATCACTCTCTCTATCACTCTCTCTATCACTCTCTCTATCACTCTCTCTATCASTCTCTCTATCACTCTCTCTATCACTCTCTCTATCACTCTCTCTMTCTCTCTCTCTCTCTCTCTCTCTCTMTCACTCTCTCTATCACTCTCTCTATCTCTCTCTCTCTCTCACTCTCTCTATCACTCTCTCTATCACTCTCTCTATCACTCTCTCTATCACTCTCTCTATCACTCTCTCTATCACTCTCTCTATCACTCTCTCTATCACTCTCTCTATCACTCTCTCTATCACTCTCTCTCTATCWCTCTCTCTATCTCTCTCTCTCTCTCTCTCTCTCTCTCTCTCTCTCTCTCTCTCTCTCTCTCTCTCTCACTCACTCACTCACTCACTCACTCACTCACTCACTCTAACTAACTAACTAACTAACTCTCACTCACTCACTCACTCACTCTCTCTCTCTCTCTCTCTCTCTCTCTCTCTCTCTCTCTCTCTCTCTCTATACATACATACATACCTAATAAGTCATATTAACCGCAGAACGGCTACCGTTTCGCGACACCGAAATCAGTATACCGACCGCACTGACAGTCAACGGCCGTATATTTATAGCACATGTCGACCATTTGGATGCGTTGACCACAATCGGCGAACAGGACGGCCCAGCGAAAGGAACTGCCCATCAATTGGAAATGTTTTCCACTCAAGAGTTTGCCTACCAATTGACCCAATATGGGTGGCAATTGTTTCGCAATCTAAACGATTACGAACTAATCTATCATGTTTTCGGTAGACATAATTTCCAGGAAATTACCGCCAATTTGGACATATTTTTGAGACATTTCAACGAAATCCAGTACTGGACAGTAACGGAATTGGTTATTGAAAAATCGTTGTCCCGTCGGGTACAGCTGCTGAGGAAATTGATCAAAATTGCCGGATAGTATGTTTTATTTTTTTAATAGCTAAGTATAGTTATAGGTATACTAGGGTTGCTAATGGGTATAGGGGGGGGTAGGTTTAAGATAGCTTACCACCACCACCACTATCCCACCCACCCCTGAGATAAAAAAAAATTTATACTGAATTCATAGGGAATACTTATTGAGAATACTTATCATGGAATTTATTGAGAATTTATTGGGAATATATGTATATTTATAGGGAATTTATTGGGAATATATATATAGGAAATTTATTGGGAATTTATTGAGAATACTTTTCAAGGAATTTATTGAGAATTTATTGGGAATATATATATAGGAAATTTTTAGGTGGGAATTTATTGGGGTATTTAATCAAATCTGGTTACACACAAAACATATTGTCGTTTAAAAATTACAATAAATAAAATTTTACCTCCTATACACCCCCACCCACCCCCCGGAAGATTTTTTGAGATTGTTCCCATCATTTTAACCCCTATAGCCACCCTCACCCACCCCATTGAGATCGGATAAAACCTTTAGCAACCCCCTTCCCTCCCCCCACTGAAAACTATACATACGGATCATCCGATTAACCCATTATTAATGTTTTTCTTTTTTGTGGATCAGTTGTAAAGACTATCAGAATTTGAACGCATTTTTCGCTATAATAATGGGTTTATCGAACGTATCGGTCAGCCGACTGTCCCAAACGTGGGAACGATTGCCCAACAAAATCAAACGCCAATTCAGTCAATACGAGTCGCTAATTGATCCGTCGAGGTATGTATTATCCTATGGTTAATCCTATTGATCCATCACAGCTGATCCATCCAATTGAATACCACCGACAGAAACCATAGACGCTATAGGATAATGGTTGCGAAGATGACCCCACCGTTGATACCGTTTATGCCATTAATGCTCAAAGACATTACGTTCGCACACGAAGGCAACAAGACATACATCGAACAGGGATTAGTTAACTTCGAGAAAATGGTAATTAATATCATTATTATTATCATTAAGAAACAAACTTATCATCAATTAAACTGATCCACCCGTCCATCCATTACCACCACTACCGCAGCACATGATAGCCCAGACATTGCGAACGATACGCGACTGTAAGTCAGGTGTTGTCAGTCTTGAACAGCCGCCACAGCAACAGTCGTCGATGTCGCTGAAGAAGACGTTGCAGACGACGACAGGGTCGGCCACATCAACGACGACAACATCCCAGCAGTCAATACAGCAGTACATCCAAGATATCAAAGTAATCGATAATATGAGACGATTGACACAACTGTCCCATTCGATTGAACACCGAAAACTATAGGTTAGGGTTTACCACCTCCTATTTAGACCCTACCCTAACATCCCTGTCCTCCCGTAAACTATGATAGGATGGGAGAGTGTTGTGTGGGGGTGGGGGTTAACAACCCTTTAGACCCTAACATCCCTGTCCTCCCGTAAACTATGATAGGATGGGAGAGTGTGGTGGAGGTGAGGGATTAACAACCCTTTAGATCCTATCCTAACATTCCTGTCCTCCCAAACATCAAACATTGAATCCATTAAAACATTTTACATTAAATCGTAACAATAATAAGTGATTTTTTAAATTATACACACATTTCTATATCCAATCAATCAATCAATCAAATCAATAATAATTATTAATATTAATAATTAAATAAAAAAATGTATTTATTTTTTAGTCATTTCAACAACAAAAAAAACCTGTTATACAAACTGTTATTCATTAACTAATTAATTATATATAAAAAAAAATTATTAAATATTTTTATTGTGAATATTAAAAATTAATTAATTAATTAATATTACGGTTAATAATAATAATGAAATAGATTTAATAAATTTATTTAAAAAAAAACAAAATTTTTGTTTTATTTAAATATCATATGACGTTAGATATGTGCGCGTAATGTCATGTTTTTATATATAAAAAAAATCAATCAATCAATTAATTAAAGTATTTTTTAAAATTATTATTTTTTTTTATAAAAAAATACGCAAAAATTAAATAATATAATAAAAATTATGATAAGATTATTATTATTATATATATTGATATATATATATTGTAATATATGACGCTATAAAACGGATGATTTTAAGTAGTAATTACCCGATAAGTAATTACCCGATAAGTAATTACCTGATAAGTAATTATCCGATAAGTATTACCCGTTAGCTTATCCCACACTTAATCGCTGTCATCATCGGAGTCATCGAAATTATATTTGACCCGTTGTCTGGCCGCTCCGCGACCCGACTTTTCTCTGGGCGGCGGCGKCGGTAAGTCGTCGTCCATAAGCTCAACAATACTATCGTCATCTACCAGTTCCGCGGATTTCTTAGACTACGGTAAGCGGCAATAATTGTGTCAATAAAACGAATAGATTTTTTTTTTATAAAAATTAAAATACCTTTTTCTTCATTGGCTTTTCATCGTCGGTTTCATCCGAAGAATCCGATGACATCCTCATCAAAATCTTCTTAGGTTTTGTCACCACTTTTCCAGTCTGTTTAGGCTTTGCGGTGACAGCTTTTGTCGTCTTAGATGAAGTAGGTTTCGGTGGTTTATCGTTAGTTTTCTGTTTTTTAGCCACGGCTTTGGTCGACGGTTTAGTCGTCGCCATCTTCTTCTTCTTTGGCTCGAAATCTTCTTCATCGTCGGGTTGAAAGTCAGTGTCATCTGAATCCTTATCCGAATCATCACTGAAAGCACTCGTCGTCTTCTTGTTCTTCTTATTCAGATTGTTTGTMTCAGTCTTTCCCGACAACAACTCTTCAGTGTCTGATGTCTTTATCGTCRGGTAATCATTGGTTGTCGTCGTTGTTGTTGTTGTTTCGTTAAACGAAACCAAATCATCACTAATCGGTTCTTCCACTTCGTCAATGGTCTTTGGTTTGGTAGAAACAATGCGAGCGCTAGTAGTAGTAGTCTTAGTGGTAGTAGTTATGTAATCGTCTTCATCAGTCTCATCGTCGCTTAGATAGTCTGGTTCGTCGTCGCCGTCGTCATCGCTGTCCGAGTCAGACCACGGACTCTTCTTTTTGGTCTTCTTCTTGTCTTCTCCACCGCCAGCAGCAGTCTTCTTAGTCGGCTTTGTTGTCGCCGTCTTAGCGGTCGCTGTCTTCTTCTCCTTCTTCTCTTTGATAGTCTCATCAGTCTTTGCCGACTTTTTCTTCGCTACTTTCGCCGAYGGCTTAATACCGCCGCCAATACGTTCGGACAATGCCTTATCCATTAGATCGTCGTCATCACTGTCACCGACAACCTCGACATCGCCGCTACCTTTTTCATCATTGTTTGCCGCCGCCGACTTTGTTGTTCGCTTTTTGGCCACTTTTTCCGTTTTCTTATAGCTATCGATATCGACTTTCGGTTCGACACGTTCGGCAAAATCCGAYGGTTTGGCTTCAATACTCAGTCTAGTGGCCGATGACTTACCACCGCCAGCACCAGGYTTTAGCCAATTCTTAACTGATCCCGATTTGCCACCAGTTGTTTTCGATGATTTACTCTGTAGGGCCTTAACCGATGCCAATCGTTCGCCATCTTCGACWCGATCCAGTTCGGCAACGAATTCATCCAAATCTCGTTCCCACAGACCTTCAGGTGTCATACGTTTCAGTTCTTCGAGTTCTTGTTTTTTGGCATCTCTTTCCTTCAGCAGTCGGTCGACATTCTCTCTTAACATCGAACTCATACGCATATCAAACAAATAGTTATAGTTTTTCTGGCCATCACTACCACCCGCAGCAGTAGTTGCTTCGTCTTCTTCACCATCAATGACCACTTCTTCTTCTGCTTCTTCGGCCTCTTCGGTAGTATTATCGCCGATCGAATCYTTGTGTTTTTGTTCCCAATCTTTTACTGGATCCGAATCGTACTTTCGGTCAATCAACTGGCGRACRAAATCTTTTTTCTTAATATTTTCCAATTTTATTTGGCCGTCATTTTTCTCGAGTATAAAACGGGCCATATTTTCCAGYTTACGGGCCTCGGCCTCGAGTTTGCCCTCGTAATAGGCTTTACGTTTGCGATAGTAATCCAATCGGACGGGAAAGTAGTCTTCGATAATCATTTCGGGTGTTTCGTATCGTTTCAAACAGCCGTTATGATCGAACAATACCATCGATGTCGTCGACATCGATGACTGTATTTTGAATATCTTATGAATACCTGAAGCTAAGGATTTCTGTAGATTTTGTTCGCTCAGTGTTACCACAAAACGGATGGTCGACTCTGTATGATATTCTTTGTATTCCTGKATRAACGACGGCTGCTTATCGGTTCCGTGCAATAGTACTTCCAATGTGGACTCTTTGTACGCCTGAGTCCATGTCCGTACGGGTAGTTCGGTTATTTCGAACGACTTATCCGATAACAGACCGATTTCGCCGTTTATGACATACTTTTGCGGATCAATCTGTAGTATTGAACCGCGAAAACCTTTAAACCACGGTTGCATCGGTTCGGGTCGTTCGCCRCGAATCATTCGACGCAAGTTTTGGACAATTTCCCGGGGATTATAATTGGGTATTTTTGTTGACCAACCGGTACCGATACCTTCGGCACCGTTAACCAAAACCATTGGCAATATGGGTGCATAGTATTCGGGTTCAATTCTCAGGTTATCGTCCATCAGTGTATTCAATAGCGGGTCGTCCATTGCCGGGAATATTTTACGGCTAAGCGWACTCAGCATTGTAAATATGTAWCGRGGACTGGCCGCATCTTTGCCGCCCTGCAATCGGGTACCGAACTGGCCGAGCGGTTGCARYAGATTGATATTRTTGCTGCCCACRTAGTTCTGGGCCAAACCGATAATCGTGGACATCAGCGACGCCTCGCCGTGATGATAGGCCGAATGTTCGCCAACACTGCCGGCCAGTTGGGCCACTTTGACCTCACGTTTGTCGTTACGTTTGAAACAAGTGAACAGTACTTTACGTTGGCCAGGTTTTAGGCCGTCCATCAGCGACGGTATTGATCGTTCGTTATCCATATTGCTGAACAAAATCAGTTCTTTGTTGACAAAATCTTTGTAGGAAACCGATCGGGTATTCGACTCATACAAGTAGACATCGGGTAAACCCAATTCACGCCTGCGTTTCCTATCTTCCATACTGTTTGTCAGCCAATCCTTACGTTGTTCGACCAATTTCTTGCTAAACGCCAATTTGACGGCCAGATCATCGTCGGCACCCGAATACTTGAATCTGATTCGATGACGAATCATATCCGAAAAGTACTCTTTGGCTTCGTTGGCCGTCGAAGTACCCAAACCTTTGTAGTATTTGATTTTCCATGTATTCCAGTTCGCAGTATTGGACTTCCATTCTTCAAATTCGGGTAACGAATAGAAAGATCGAGCTGTGGATGAATTCGAACCTTTGGATACTTTGACAATCGGTGTAATAAATTCTTCCAGAAAATTCAATTCCAATAATTTCGGCCAATTATGATGAATGAAATTTATGAGTAAACCCTTGATATGCGACCCATCCTGATCCTGATCGGTCATTATCATCAGTTTACCGTAGCGTAGAGTTTTCAGGTCCTCCTGAGTAGTGTATTGTTTCTTATATTGTAGACCCAGAATCTTAATCAAGTTATTGATTTCGGCATTTTCCAGTATCTGTTTGTGTGTAGCTTCGCGAACGTTCAACATTTTACCCCTGAGCGGGAATACACCGTATTTATCGCGACCGATAACACCGAGGCCGGCAATGACCAACGATTTAGCCGAATCACCTTCGGTTAGTATTAGTGTACAGTCGATCGAGTGTCGGGTACCGGCATCGTTGGCATCTTCCAGTTTGGGAATGCCTTTCAATTTCGATTGTTTCTTTGAGTTACACTGTTTCGACAGTTCCGTCTGGGCCTTGAACTGTACCCATTGCATTACCGATTCGACAATACCCGTTTTGTTGGCCGCCGCGAAAAACTTGTCCGACGGCTGACATTTTGAACCGAAACTTTTCGCTTGCAATGTCATCGTCTCTTTCGTCTGGGAATCAAATGTCGGATTTTCGATCAGACAGTTGACGAAAATCCATAAATGATTTTTCAGTTGAAATGGTTTGACATTAACGCCGGCTTTGTTCTTCTTTTTGATAATATCGGTCATTTTGGCGACTATTTGGTCGGCAATATAGTCCACATGTTTACCGCCTCGAGTAGTGGCTATCGAATTGACAAACGAATTCTGTTGGAAACCTTTGTCGCTGACCGTACAGGCAATCTCCCAACGATCGCTAACCTGTTCGTAGGCTGTCCTCAACGGCTGACCCGATTCATCTTCTTTGTCTTTGACAAACTGGTCGACATAATCCTTGAAACCCATTACCGGCAAACGTTTACCATTCAGATAGACTTTAACACCTTTACTACTGCCGGCCACATCGTAAGCCCGACGGGAAAACAAGCCGACAATATCTTTATCCAGCGATTGCATACCAAACTTTTGGAGATCCGGTGTGAATGTTACGCGTGTATAGTCTTCACCCGTAGAGGCCGTAATCTTTGGTTCGGTAGCCGTTTTCATATTATCCGTCCAGATCTGTACAAATTGTTTACGATATTCCTTACAACTGGTTTCCACTTTGAATCGTTGACTGAAAATGTTGCACAGTTTGGCACCGTAGCCGTTACGGCCGCCGACCACTTTTTTTTCTTTGTCATCGTAGTTGGATGAGGTCAACAAATGGCCGAATATTAGTGTCGGTACAAACATTTTTTCGTCCTTATGTTCGACAATCGGTATTCCTTTGCCATTATTATAGATTGTTATCTGATTTCTTTCGCTGTTTGAGATCAATAGAGAGTGGGTGAGTGTTTGTGAGAGAGAGAGAGAGAGAGAGAGAGAGAGAAGACAGAGAGACAGATAGAGAGAGAGAGACAGATAAAGAGAGAGATAGAGAGAGACAGAGAGAGAGAGARAGAGAGAGAGAGAAAGARAGAGAGAGAGAGAGAGAGAGAGAGAGAGAAGAKAGAGAGAGAGAGAGAGAGAGAGAGAGAAGAGAGACAGATAGAGAGAGACAGAGAGAGAGAGAAAGAGAGAGAGAGAGAGAGAGAGAGAGAGAGAGAGAGAGAGAGAGAAGAGAGAGAGAAGAGAGAGAGAAAGATAGAGAGAGAGAGAGAGAAAGAGAGAGAGAGAGAGAAAGAGAGAGAGAAAGATAGAGAGAGAGAGAGAAAGAGAGACAGATAGAGAGAGACAGATAGAGAGAGACAGATAGAGAAAGAGAGATAGAGAGATAGAGATAGAGACAGAGAAAGAGTAAGAGAGAGAGAGAGACTAATCACTGAAGATTGGGATCAATAAAAAAATTCAATCAATCAATCAATACATACGAATCAATATCAACCCGAATACAGTTCATCGACTTATCYCGTTGTTTATTATCGGCCGCATTGACCAGTACTTCATCGAAAATCTTGTACAAACCGGGAACATAGGATATATCYCTTAATTGCATACCRTTTTGTTCTTCATCGTAGATCCACATTTGCTGAAGACATAAGAAAACATAAGACATTACAATTCAATACAAATCAGATGAAAACCAAAACCAAACCTTTGTCTCCTTTTCGACGGAACCGATATAAGTGTCTGGTCTGAGTAGGATGTGCTCCAATTGGCTCTTCTTCTGGTARATACGTTCRACACTYAACCGCTTGTTTGTCTTGTCCTTTAGCGGTACTGTCGCCGCTGCCGTCGGCTTTGCGGCCATCACTTCCATGTCTGTGTCGTCCGTGTCCGACATCTCGAAACGGATTGKTTGTCCACTGTTTAAACAGACAGTGTGTGTGTGTGTCTATCGGTATGTGTTTTACCACCGATGCTGCTGATGATGATCACCCAAAAGAAATTGATCCCAAATTTAATTAATTTTTATGTCCAAAACAATGTGTTTGTGTTGTTATTATAACAGTCTATAACTAYAGTATAACTAAACTAATAATACATTTGATTATAAACAGTGTATTGTATTATCAATTGAACCGCCAATACATTGCCCGCCAAAAACACTATTCAATAACTCCATTATAAGCAAAACCAAAACAATCACACACACACACACAATGATACCCTATAGGCACATATTATATTAATTAAAATTTTTTATACTTATGTACAACAAAAATTGCAGTTTATTTATATATACTGTATATATATATTTATTTTATTTTTATAATTTTTTTTGCGTGTATTGTGTATTCAACAATTAGATATACATTTTTTTAACAAATTAATATTAATATTACTACAAAACATATATTATGTATTTTTGTATGTATATACACTATATTAAGTATAATCTATGTGTTTGTTTGTAGTGCGTCTACTATTGTTTTAGTTTTACATATACTGAGACAGTTTTTTTTAGTAATATGTGTGTGTGACGTCACTCACTATATACAGTGTAATTCAAATGTTTTCCCCCTCCCATTGGCTATCTATGGATAATCAACTGGCCAATCACAGTCAGTCATATACCACATAACATGACACGCCCTCTAGTGTTGATAATAATACTGTAAWTGGTTTTTACATTACATTACATGTACAGTGTGTGTGTCCATACTTCTAGTTCATAGGCCTACCRAATATATACAGTGTATATAATAATCATATGTTTTTTTAATACTACCAATAAATTTAATAATAYCTTTACTACTATACAGTAGTTTTTTTCAGTATAACTATTTATATGACTTTTAATTAATTAATTAATTAAATATTAATTATAAATTTTTAATACTTATATGTACAACAAAATTGCAGTTTATTTATTATATAGATATATTTATTTTTATATATATTTTTTTGTGTGTGTGTGTATTGTATTTACAATTAGATATACATTTTACAAATTAATAGTTTTTTTGTTGTTGAATATATTTAAATAAAAAACATATAATATATAATATTTTTTGCAGACATTTAATACATTTTGAAGTAATAATTATAATAATAATAATATAGAAAATAATTAATTAATTAATAAAAAAATACAAATAAAAAAACTGAATTGAATTGATAATTAAAAYATTTCTGTTAAGATATTACCACTACTTCTTCTAATCATATTTAACCCACTCTTCATCGCTTCCAACACCACCTCCACCACTGCCGCCGACAATRGCGTCTTCAGTCTTATCCCAGTCGTCGCTATCAGGAGTRGTACAAGACTTGGATTGTGCGTCAATTGAATCGCCAGTACTAGTCGTCGTCGTCGTCGATGATGAAGACGACTTCGGCGACGATAACTGGCCGTCAGTACTGGCCATCGAAATCAAGTCATCTTTCGATCGATTATTACTCTTCARACCCGACGACGGAGGCGTCGAAACRGCTGTTGTTGTTGTTTCGTTCAATAGCTTAACTTCGACCGACTTTTTCCTATTGTTKGCCRCCACCGATGACACCGCCGAATCATCGGTTGTTGGCGATGTTGGCCACGAAATACTTGATTTCTCGTCGATTTTCTTGCGTTCCGTCTCTCTTAGCTGATAAACACGATAGTAGTATCGGTGCCAGAAGTCAACATCGGATAGCGATTGGGGTACCAATTGCTGGTAATAGTCGTGCATTTCGGGAACCGWTTGCATCAGTTGATCCATTTGCCGTTGATAGTCAATCAGATTGAAGGTCATTAGCCACGATTCGTAGTGTTCGGGCGGTCCAATCGGTTCCCGGCAATAGGTRTTTGCATCCAATTGTATTTCCKRCAACAGYTGTTGCCATTGATCKATGGCTACCAATCGATCGCCRCTCAGTACATACATTTCGTCTTCATCTTCATAGTAGTTGCGATTAATYAGAAATGCGTCGGCAATACTACCGATCAGACCGTTCAGCTTATGTTTGGCTTTTGATCGGATATTTTGTGTCCATTGTTCCCAATCGTTATCAGATCTCTTTGATCCWTCTTCTCCTYCRTCATCATCGGTAGCGACAACTGTTTTATCGTCCACTTTATCGTCGGCWGTCTTYACAGTACTTTCATCGGCACTGACCACCGCTGATGGCCTCGACGTCGACARCGACGACGACTCTTCCATAAACTCTTTATCGTATTCGGGATCCAATGTATTGCTAATACTAGTTATGGTATCTTTCATTGTTTTGTTCACATAGGAGGCAGTGTTGGTCATAGTATTGGTCACTACGCCGAAACCGTCCGACGTCTGAACCGTTTCTTTTAGTTCAGACAAATCACGTTTAATTGATTCAAACGTATCGGTAGACTATATATAAGGTTTTWAAAGACTATTTAGTATATAATATCTATATATATATATATATCACTGATTATTTAGACATTGGATCAGACCTTTTGGATCCATGAGTTCCACCAGGAATTGGCTGTTGTTGTCGTTGAGGTCGACATTGACGCCGAAGGTCTCGATTGGCACTTATTTTTAGCAGACATTGCATTATCTTYGACGACACTGTCATCGATGGTCTGGTTATTGGTGGCGACGACGACGGTGTTGTTGTCGTCCTCGGGATTATTGGTGGCCAACGATGACGACGACGACATCATTTTCTTCGGTCATCTGTTTTACTATAATTTATAAATGTTTTAATAATAATTATCACCAATAGATCCACAAAAAACAATCAATGAATCACCTGATGGTGTCATCATTGGTACTATCGATGGCTTGTTTTTTGCTGTTGTTTTGGTTGWTGTTGTKGTTGTTGTTGTGKTTGTTATCCATAGCTCTCTCTCATAGCTAATACACAGTTAAAACACATTAAATAATATCGATATACAGTATAACAGATATACTCTCAATAATAATACTGTAATTATTGTAAACAAAAATCATGTGATCGTTAAGCATAGTCAGCATAAATASTGTTAAAATACAGTGTATAGTCAAGATATCATACTATGGACTACAGTGTTAAACAGTCAAAGCTTATGGTACTTGTACTAAATTTACAAACACATAATGTTTAACTTATTATTATCAGGGTTTTAAAAAAATTACACGTATAAACAATTAACCTAATCTAACCTAACCTAACCTAACCTAACCTACACACACAACCTAACCTAACCCAACACACACACACACACACACACACACACACACACACACACACACACACACACACACACACAACCTAACCTAACCTAATCTAACAACCTACACACATAAAATACACACAAAATGTCATTCATTTATGGCACATTTGGGCATTGCATTTTGGGCAGGCATTTACACACACACAACACACACACACACACACACACACACTTGTATACACATTTATAAGTTATTTGGTTCATTTGGTTTGATACACACATCAAACACATCCCATTACTTAACCCTGGTTATGTAACTAATTTATAGTTATAATTTAGTGATGTATTAAGTATTATTAGTTATTATTATTATTAGTTGTTAATTGTAACACACATATAAACACATATACACACACAAATAGATTTTAATTGTTATATAATATTTAATAAATTTTATTACCTATTATTTAATTAATTTTTACACTGTTATAATTAAATATCATAATTTTGTTTATTAACTTAGATAAAATAATAATAATAATAATAATAATAATAATAATAATAATAATAATAATAATAATAATAATAATAATAATAATAATAATAATAATAATAATAATAATAATAATAATAATAATAATAATAATAATAATAATAATAATAATAATAATAATAATAATAATAATAATACCAAATATACCAACAGACAAGTGCAGGATGTGTCATATGGAGCCCGAAACAATAGAACATATACTAAACGGGTGTAAAGTACTCACAAACACCGAGTACCTAAGCCGTCACAACCAAGTAGCCAAAATCATACATCAGGAATTGGCAATAAGATTCGACTAATCAAAGAACCATTACCATACTATAGATACGAACCACAAAGTGTAATGGAAAGCAACAGAGCCAAGCTCTACTGGGATAAAGAAATAAGAACAGATAAGACTGTGGCCCACAACCGCCCAGATATAGTACTAGTAGACAAACATCAAGATAAGGCGTACATAATAGACATAGCGGTCCCACTAACACACAAACTACAGGACACGCATAGTGAGAAACGCCGAAAATATA